CTTCCTAAATGAAGGTATTGGAAACTAATGTGTTAAGCCATCACAGCAATAGTAAACTGTTGATTAAATCAATTTGGCACATCTTTCTAGGTGATTCTCAACACCTAATTTCTCACATTTTAATTTTCATGACAATGATCTCAGGAAGGACTCACAGAAATTGTGGACCAGTGTCACAGTAAAATGATCCTGGATATGATGTACTAGTCACAGATTTTCATTTTGTGGAGTAACAGCTATTGTATTAGTATTCTCAAACACCTATTGAAAAATCAGTGCAGTGCTATACGTAAACGTGAATGCACATAGCTCCTGTTCGGGAGAACTGTAAAATCTCACCTGGTGTAGGTTTAACTGGTAAGAAACTAATCTCCTGTGCAGGACAAGGATCCCTCTCCTTGTCCCTGCTGAGTCACCTCCCACACTACCTCTTGTTCCTTGTCAAAGGCAGAGCCCTCTTCTGTGGTGCTAGCCCCATACTACCTTAAATCTGGATGCATAAACCCATACTGGCTTCCCTCAATGCCAGCTGTACACAGGTGTGATGTATTTCTTTAAATGGAAGATCCAGTTTACCAAATAATCCAATTTGCTCTCTTTATGTAGTATATCCAGCTCCTCTGCCACTTGTCACCTGCACACCAGCTATTTCCATTTACATCAAATTACAGCTAGGGAATGCCTTCAGATCTTGAAAGGCTGCTTCCTGTAAGTTCTCCCCCACCTTTGCTCTCAAGGAACAGCAGTCTCCCTCACAAATAGCAACTTTTTGAGACCTGTCAGAAAGCCAGTCCTTAATCCATGTAAGGCAGACCACACTGATACAGGAAGGGGCTATTTTTAAACACCACTGTCCTGCCATAGTAGGTCAGCCCCCTGATGACATCTAAGTAACGTTGGATTCAGCTCAACAAATTCATCATCTCATAGAAAAAGCAAGAATGGTCTTTCTTGACAGGAGATAGCTTTGGTGTGGCTAATTGAATGTCAGTGATACTTTAATTGAGTTACTGCTTCTCTGAGCTGGGCACTTGTAAGTAAGTGACCATCACTGCTGTTGTTTTTGTCTGCTAAGGCATCAGTATAGTAGCTCCCCACTTGAATCTGTAGGCTGGACATCTCTTGAACCTGGAAACCTCCTCCAACTCCTGCACTGGTTGTTGCTTTAGTTGACAATTTCTCCTCAGTGCTGCCCCTCAATGATTGTATTTAATTCACCTGATGTATGGCTAACACATGTTCGCTGCATCATATGTGCATTCGTATCCCAGATGCACCAAGCAATACCCAAAACCCCACTTCCCAGCTTTGTGATTGCTAGGTAAGGGACAGAAAATACTTAGGTTTTGTAAATGCTATATTTAGATCACTATCTTCTGAAGTTCTCTACAGTCATAGAAGAGGGGCCCTATAACAAATTTTGGGGCCACACCGTTATTTATCCAAAATAAGATAAATTAAGTCAGCTCACCTGTCCCCAGGCCACTGAGTCTGGGAGTATTTACATTCCCAACTTCTGAGCAACTTGCAGCCAGCATATTTTTAAAAGCCACAAAAATGCTCCTTTTTCACCCAAAATTTTTGCCACCAATCCCCTTCAGGAAACCAGCAATCACAAACACTGAAATGCTTTATACAGGAACAGGCCCAGAGAGAAGATGGCTTCAGACCTCCTCTTTTAACCTCCTGTGTGCCTGCTGAAGGCATCTTGCTACAGTATTAAGAGCAGGCACCACTCAGCTCCATTGCTGGTAGGGCAGCAGAGGGATGCTGTGGTGATTCAGGCTCAGGCAGATGTTAAGAGCAGTGTGTCATGGCAGAAAACTTTACCAGATCTGTCTGTAGCACACATGACATCCAAGCTGGAAGATGTGATGTGACCTCTGCTCAAGTAAGGACTGGAAAACCAATTGCTCCTAGTCATCACAGAACCTCTCCAGGACACAGTTTCTATTTCCTTGTTTCTCCCAAGCAGAACTGGGTTTCACTTTTTAGTAGTTGTCTCACATTTTCCTATTTCCCAAGCCAGATTTGCACAGTTCTCTGAGTCTTGCTATGGTCAGTGTGTGAATTTTAGGGACTTCAGAAAGATCTGAAAGTCACAGCTTAAGCATTTCAATGACATTAAAACATTCACAGTTGAAGCTTCTCTGGTTTTAGAATCACAAATTCTATTTTAAAGATGTGTTTAGATATTTCTTGCCCTGATTAAACCATGGCATCCAAGTACAGCTCAATCTTGCATGCATCCCTAACAGTGCTCTAAGACAAGGGCAAAGTCTATTATTTGAAAGGTTTACAGATAGTTTACAGATAGAACATGAATGCACAGAAAGGCTGTGTATTTGCTGCAGACAAAACAAGTGGCTAACTCGCATTCACTGAGGTTTAGAATAATGTTCTAACAGTACACTCCTTCTTTTCCTCTTCCTATGACACTTTGCTCTGTGCCAGAGAAGCATGTATTAAAATTGTGATAAGGTAACAAAGTATAAAATCAAATGCTTCAAAACCAGTCAGCTTCCTGGTGTTAAAGTTCATATTTCTGTTTTTGAATTTGTTTTCTTTACATATTCAGTGATGCACACTTAGAATTTACTCTGCAAATTTCCCAGCAAACTCATTTACCATGGTGATAGAAGCAAATGTATAGAGAACAGTGTGTAGAAAACCCAGTGGTGACTGGATTTCTTTCTGTAAGTCTAGCATTCAACCAGAGTGGTTGCAGAATGCTGGAGTAAGCTTCTGCTCGTCTTAGAGAGATACTGCAGCAGGTTCAAACAAATGAAACACCAAGCTGAACTGAAATGGTATTTATTTCTTCTGAGAAAGGCCATACAGCATTTGAGAATTGACCTTATTTTTGCCAAACAGTGGCAGGCAGGAAACGCCTAACTTGTGTCACTCATTCTGATGGAGAGAAGCTAGAAATTAACTTCTCTGCATTCCGACAAACATTTGCAGCAGACCAATCATGGGAGAAAAACCAACTAACAAGCTTATATGGAAAACCTGTTGCTCTGCAGAGTGCTAAGCAAACAAGTTGGTTCATGGACCCACACTAATGCTTAAAATAAGGCTGAATATTTTTTATGCTGAAGTAAAATTCTTTAAATCTAATTAACTGCATACATTGCTTACTATATTTTATGAATTACCAGAAATAGAAACAAAAAAGGAAATATGTATAGAAAGCGAAGGTCCAGACTCACAAGGCCTTCTATTATGCCAGCATAAACCTACTGTAAAAGCTGCAATACACCAGGTGATAATATTAAATCCATAATGGCCTCATTGGTGTGAGATGCAGGACACTAAGAAGCAGAGGACTTGATCTACTTTGGTAAAACTGCTTTGGTAAAATGTTTCAGGACATCATGTGGAAATGACTGTTGTCCAGTATTCTGTTATATAGCAGTTGGAAGGAACAACAATAATGTAAACTTCTTTTTTTTTTTTTTTTTTTAATGTGGAGACATAAGTGTTTCAGAGCTATGCACTGCAGCATAGCACAGAGCTATGCAGCTCTGCAGTACAGTTCTGCCATAAAGAGTCCCAAAGTCCCAAATCACTGGCCGTGGTGAGGTTTGCCTCTGGGGGAACATTCCTGGTGTTTCCACTTGAGATATGGCAATGGCTATGTTGATAGAAAACTGAGAACCAGATTAAAAATATGCATCTGCTTTCCACTGCTTGAAAGTTAAATGGTTATAGCTTCCCTCCTCCCCTATCAAATGATACCGTTTGCTCTTTTACAGTTAATATTTTAGAGAGAAAAGTCCCTAAACTGTTTCTTTTAAATCTGGTTATTTTAAATTTCCAGTTACCTATCAGCAAAGTAGTAGATTTAAGAAAAATATCTTGGAACAGCAGCAGCAGCAGAAGCAGCAGCAGCAGCCATTCCTGTTACACTACAAAAGAAATCTGTAACCTGTGCCAGCTGCAGAAAAATGTAGCATCTGTTGATCACTGGGGGAACTGGGGAAGAGAACTGAAATCCATGTGGGCTCTGCCATCTTCTGTTTCCCTTCAGACCTCCAGGTGTGTGGTCCCCGGCACGGGCTGTGCCATCCGTCTGGGACTGGCACAGCTGCATCAGCATCTCGGCCATGGGGAAGAAGAAGAGCTGGGTGTCACTTGAACAAGGGCAGGCTGTATGGGGCTGTCCGACTGGCAGTGCCCAGAGAAACACAGGCCTTTTGACACAGTGCCTGTGACATGCTAGAAGATGAGCTGGCAGTTTCTGTATGCCAGGATGATGGTGGATCCTAAACACCCAGGCCCTTTCCTCACCAGGTGTCACTACACACGTTCCTCCAAGGTCTGCACCAGCTGAGCTCATGGCTCAATTCAAATACTCTACTAAATGTGAAAACAAAAGCTATAACTAAAATAGGGATCAATCCTGCCTATATTTTACTCCTGGTGTAATGCAGCTCAGCAGGAAATTTTTCTGAAATCATGTACTCAGCTGTGGAGCTGAGATGACAGTTCAACTAGTAGATCAAACAATTACACAATTTTGGCAATGCAGCGTCTGTGTTCAATTGTCTTAAAACTAGCAATATCACAATTATTTTCTGCACTAAAAGCCATCCTGCAGCAGATCATTTTGCTTAACTTCTCCATCAGCTAAGCAAAAGCTCAAACTGTGAAAAAATACATAGTCAGCAGAGTACTGATTTTCTCCTGCAATCTCCTCTCCTCCCCATTTATTCCTTCTTTTCTTCTATATCATCAATCTTTTAAGCATGCCACTGTGCATTCACATTTTTCTTTCTGCACGTGTCAGCTCAACGCTCTTCCTCAGAGCCCTCTTTCTCCGCCAAATCCCGCAAAGCAGATTTTAACCACTCATTTCCCGAACTGGGAATTCCACACACAACTTTGCACAAGCCAGGCTCTCCGTGTGCTTCTCAACCACTCTGCTGGAATCCCCCCTTCCCTCCAACAACCCACGGCTAAGGACAAAAGAGCAAGTAAAAGGAAACTTGACTTACTGCTATGGCTTGGAGCCTTTCCTTGTGCAACTCTGCTTCCGCCATCCTGGAGAGAAGGACACGGGAGGAGAGAGAGGGAGACCGGTGGGTGGGAGGGAGAAACAAAAAGGCAAACAAAACCGAAACGGAGCGCACACTGCAGTCACCGGGGGGAAACTGGAGTAACTGCAAAGAAAGCCGAGCTTCTGTGTAGCAGTCAGCCACTTTTGGAGGCACTGCAGGCTGGCTCACAGTACGATCATTTTAGTCACTGGACCAGTGCCTGCCTGGCTGCCTGTCTCCCAGCTGTATTGCTAACTGCATTTCAGTGCTGCTTCTGTGTGCTGGTGCTGTCACACAAACCATGTAGGCACTCTCCAAGCAGCTGAGCAGAGGGATAGCTCGCATGGCTATAATTTTTTGCGTTGACGTCTCAGCTCATTTGCTCCTCCTATGGGGTGCTGGGTCACGACAGGAGCTCGACATCAGCAGCGTGCACAGTAATACAAACCTGCCTGACTGCAGCAGAGGAGGCAGACAGCTGTGCCACAGCATGTCCTTAGCGAGCAGCGCAGCGCGCAGGGAAGGACGGCGGTGGCACATGGCGCAGGGAGGGGAGCTGCGGCAGCCACGCTGAAGGCGGCGGGGGCAGCCCCACTGAAGCAGGTTTGGATAAGGGAAGGGAAAGGACACGGCTGCCAGGAGGAGGGAGAGCGCGGACTCTGGGCGAAGTGCACAGACAGCTGTGAGTGCAGTAGTATCATGGCACGCTGCAAAATGCTGCTGCTGCAGGGCAGCCCTTAACAGAAGTGATGAAGAGCATCTGGATGGCGAGGGAGAAGCAAGAATGTATGTAAGATGTGTAACGCAAACACATCCTGTATGCATTGCATGTATTGACATCAGACATGGGAAGTGATAAAGCTGTGTGTACAGTCTCACTGAGGAATCCAGTGTTATAAACACAGGAGAAGGAGGCAGGTGAGGAAGTGAAGGGACACTTGAGCCAGTATCACAAGGGTACCTGTGATTTCAAGCTTGTCTTTGGTTTTGCATGCAAAACACTTTTATTTTCACTTGTATGATTGTCTGCTTCCTTTTCTCAAAGACAGCAGCAAAACCCCCCCCCACTCCCTCGCAGTCCTGTCCCGTGGGGTGCCACTGGGTGAGCCTGGGGCTGCCCCAGTAAAGGGGTCTCTGAGCCAGGGACAGTCACCACGCAAGATGGTGGGTGGGGGCTGACCATGATATCGTGAGGCTGTCCTGCCATGAGCATTATATGCTGCAAAATGCACTTCTGCATGTCTCCTGTCATGCAGAAGTGCATTTTGCAGCATATAATTTTGATGTGATAACCTCTTGCTGCTAAGATGGGGAAACCCTATTATCTTGAAGGAAAGCAATCTGGAAGTCACCCTGTTTCCCATGTGCCTGCCCTTTCAAAGGCCACTTAGCCTGGCATTTTAGTTTTCCATATCCCAGTCTCCTCAGTCAGACATCCTCCACTTCCATCCCAGTTCCAGGACATGCTACTTGCTGCAGGCTGTTTTTCAAGGCAGCTGCTTTGTCAGGTGTTTTCACTTCCTAGTCCCATTTTCTTACTGGTGCACAGTCTCCTTGTCTTGTGACAGCATGTCAAAGTGACTTCTTTCTTTGCTTTACCCCCATGAAAGAGGTTCTGTGTTGTCTGAAAGCTCAGGAACATTATATAATTCCAGTAGTCACTGTGAGCAAAAGGCAAAGTTTTATTGCCATATTCCGAGTGAGGCAGTATGAGTAAGTTGGTGATGGGGGGATCACAGCTAAGGAAAATGCAACAATTGTGGCTACATACTGGGATACTCTTTCAGTCTTCCAGCTTTAAGTAATTTATGGAATAACAGTTGCTCTCTAGCCTGTTTGATCTCTTTCTCTTGTTCTTCAAAATCTCTCCTTTTTATTTTCCATTACCATGTAAAGGTCCATGCATTGCTACTTGTATTACTACAGCTGGTTTTGAAATACGCCATCACACAGAATCCAGGCATCTCTACTCCCACATGTGCTCTGAGAACATATATGGGCAACTGCTACTAAGGCTTGATAGCTATGCAATTAAATCCCTTCAATACCCTTCTCATGTTTTGCTGTTAAGCCTTGCCCTGGGGAAGAATTCTGCTACAGGCTATATTCAGCAAAGACAAGGGTTATGCCCCAGTGCTTACTGGAGCTGGAATGGGCAGCCTATTCATGCTACAACCTGTAGTCACATTACGTGTTGCCAAAGTGGAGTGCAATATGCATCACTTCAGGCTGTCCCGTCTTTTCTTTACATATGAAATCCACTCAGGAAGATCTTTAAGCATATATTTAAGTGCATTCCAGACAGTCATATATAAAAATGGATGTGAGTATCTCAGTTATGGTACAGAGCTGAACACTGTATTCTGTATCCTTCGTTTATCCTCTCTCCAATTTAACTGCAATGCTTGTTGCCAGCAGAAGATAGGTAGGGTGCCTCCCTAGTGAGTGCTGCAGCCTTCCTGGTCCCAATGAAACATGCTGCAGGGCTGTGCACCCCTCCAGTTTAGTTTTTCAAGGAAACATGGATCAGCTTTGTTGACTCTTTGTGACTGTACAGGAATGATGGAGGTTGCATCTACAACTGCAGCAGAGCAGTTTCTTGCTCTTGACGTGCAGTGAGGAAAGGATGGAAGTCATGCAATAGTAAAATACTAAAATACATACTCTACATGTAGTTCTACATTTCTCTGCATATAGCTTTCTCTCATATGGCTTGAAGCCTGTGATGCAATGAGGTTGAAATCCTTCACTGAGGTATTTCACAGAGCACACCCAGATGAAATGGCCTCTATGAAGTGACTTACTACACCATGATGGAATCAGCAGCGGACAGCCCCTCTAAGACGTTTAGTTAGTGAAAACATTTAAAATGAAACAAAACAAAGCATCTACCCAGTCAATTTTTAAATGTATTTCTCATCCATGTTGGTTAAGATTTTGTTTCCAGAATGTTTTGCTAGGTTGGTAGGGGATTTGAATTCAAAAATTAAGAAATTTTGTTAAATTCTAAACATTTTTTTCCCTTACTTTTAGGGCAGGAAACTAGGGTAATATTTCCAAATTTTAAAGACACTAGTAAAACAAGAGAGAATGGAGTGTGTAGGGAGGAGCAAGGAGATTTCTGAAGAGTAGGTAAGAGCAGGTTTAATATACTTTGTTCAGTAGCTAAAAATGGAAAGAAAGAAAAAAATATCCTTTTTATTTCTTCAAATGTCAGTTCAAAAGCTGTTCTTTTCACAGCAATTTTTAAAAGAGCAAGAACTGCTAAATCCTAATAATGTGTGAATTGCATTGCATTTCCATGCAAAACAGATTTTTATTTTTGTTTCTTTGGAAAAGAGTGTAGGAAACAATCTGTAGACCCTGTTCAGTGCTGGAGAAGATCCTGAAAGTACTCTGAGCTATGTGTAGCCTGAACTTTAAATGAGACAGCTTAGTTATGTGGTGAAAGTCAGCTTCTTGTCCTTGCTATGTAGCTGAACTGGATTAGGAAAGGTTCTAGCTTAAATCACCTGTGTTTAATTTTGGTCAATACAATCAGGTTAGTTTTTTGCCATTGTGCTGCTTACTATAAGAACCCTTCTGCATGATGCCCGGAATCTTATCCCTAGGAAACCTTTGACTTCTCATTCTCCTGATTGTTGGTAGACTGATTTAGTCTAAGAAACCAGAATTTGTCCTGAAGACTGCATAAGGAAGGCACATGCATACACATGATGGTCAGGATTAGCACTTCAGCCATTGCAAATGCATCAATGTGTTTTTGAGGTGACAAGTTACTGGTTGGATCCTGTCAGTGGCTGTCGGGAAAACACAGAGCAAGGAGGGAAAATGGGCTTCACATTTGCATTTCAGATTGTTTAAGAGGAGATACTTCTGGCTCTTAAAATTACCACATGCCAGCATGTTCCATTGTGCTGCACTAACACTGCTCTGGCATTCTCAGTATTCAAGCATTCATTCCTACAGCAAGTTTGAACCATATTATTTTCTTCTAAGTCAAAATTCTGAGGTTTGATTAATCTTTCTTTACCTTCCTTACCAGAGTCTGGCTATATTAAAATAGTTCAGGAATGAATAGGTAGTCTAAACTTTTAGATACCTGAGCTCATCACCCATGCTCATTTTCTGGACTTCCTCAAACACTGTGCCTCACACTACATTCCCTTCAAAATTTCTGGCAGTGTCACCATCCAAAACTTCCAGGAGAGACTACTCCATCTGCAGTTTAATTGTAGCTCTCTGCCTCACCACACAAAAGCCTCTTCCTGTCCTTCTCTAGCCTCTACTCAGACAGCTTGCTGGGGATATGGAGTGCTTATAACACCAGGGGCTGTGCTTGGGCCTCTTGGACCTCACAGTTGTGAGCTGCAGAGACCTTCATCCCAGGGCAACATCACTCCAGGACAGTTGTTTTCATCCTGCCTGGATGCATTGACTCAGGAAGTGGTGGCTGTATAATGGGGAATGTTGTCCAGGCCCTTCACAGCCACTCAGTGTGGCTGGTGGAGGGAGGTGCCCAATACCTCGTCACTCATGACTTGCAATAGTGAAAGTGAGAAGTTGAGCACCCAAAGATGTGCCCTCACCCTTCTGTGGAATAGCAGATGCTACCACCAGTACACTTTCTTCATTCCCCATTCCCCCTTGCATGGGTTTTCATGGGCACAGCCCCCAAGCAGTTTGTGCAAGAGGATAATCAAAGGTTTGGAAATCTCCCCTCCATCCCTCACAGCACTTTGTATCTAGAAAATGTAGCTGGTGAAACTATTAGTTATACGTTTGAAGTTGAACAAGAGAGCACTGGCAGAGTTCAACCTCTGCCTCCTGAGTCCAGTTTTCTAAGCACAAAAGATCATTATTTCTTTATAGAAAAAAAAATTAATAAAACTTGGAGTTTGAATAAATCAAACTGAAATTATTTCATCTCCCCTTTTTCTTTATTTTTTTTCTTCTGTTTGCCACTTGCTGTCAAGCCATGGAGTTGAAACATACACAGCAGGAGATAGCATTGTTTAAGAAATAAAAGCTAGAGCACAGGGCTTTGTTTTAAACCTTCCCAAGACAGCAGGCTTATGAATAGTAAAGCCACAAATTATTAATAAATGCAGTCTATGAAGTTTTCCATGTTTGCTTCGTTTCATTCTGAAGCCATGGGAAGATGGCATTGAGAAGTCCTCTGACTAGAGGGTCTTCATTTAGTCATGAAAGCTTCATGACACCTCCTCTCAACAGACCAGCAGATGCCAGGGTGGTAGGAGCCCTTGAGAGACTCCACAGACCAGAAATCTGGCCAAACGTTGTTTGTTGTCCACAAACAGTTGCTTGTAGGTGATTTGGCTAGAACAAGGGATTAGAAGCAATTGTTTTCCTGAGACCTGTTGTTCTGCCAGCCCCACAACCGTGCTAAAACAGCTTTGTGCTAGCCTGAGGTTTATTCAACAGCTTGCAGTAACTTGGCAGCTACTAATGTCTTTGGCAGTAACTTAAGAAGTGAGCCACAGAGCATTCCCTGCCAAAGCCTCAGATGAGCTGCCCTGAAGATGCTGGTTTCTGTGACTTTCCTTGAAGTAGGGAAGAAGAAGAAAGTATGTATGCACTTCTCTTTTCTCCCTTTTTTCTTTGCCAGGTAGCTGGGTTATTTGAAGATTCCCAGGTGGAGGAAGCAGTCTGTCTCCTCTTGGGACTTCAGTGCTGGCTGCTAGCACTGCACCTTGCTTACCCAGCTGCAGGATCTGGGAAACTACAGAACTGTCAGTCTGCCCTCAGTGCCTGGC